GATCATATATTTTTTTATACGCTTCTTTCTCAATGATTTTACACGGAATATAAATAATAACTACTGTCATATATATATGCAATAGTGACTTTGCCGTTGCTGTGGAAATCCTGAACAAAAAGTGAATACATGTAGTTTATTTGTTCCACACTTTGCTACCTAGTGGCACGAACTGTGTGAATCGCACATTGCTTGTGATGCTAAATTCATAATCTACACCAAAAGTTGTCTTGGGTTATACAGGTCACAATTCTATGGAATACAGTTACTGCTTATTACTGAGCGACGTTTCGACTAGGCTTCTCTAGTCATTATCTAGTTCAATTACTAAATGGACACAGATCACCAAATATTCCTACGCCGTCACCCGAAACAAGGGCCAAAGCTATTTTTAGTCTTCCTCTCCCTTTTCCTTTTTCCCCCTTTTGCATGGCGATTTTTGTTGACTTTTTGGTGTAGAATTGAGGAAAAGGGTTTGAAAATACATTTTCTGCCAGGTTTTGGTGAATATTCATAATTTTGATGCGGAAGGATACAAGAGTTGAGAGGTTGGTTACGTTGTAATGTAGGGCCTGAAATTGCATGTTTACTTGTCTCTACTTCCAGCTTGTGTATCTCAAGTTTTTCATGAAGAACCTCATACGTGCTTTTGGGCAAGTGGTTGCCACATGTTGCTCTATCTGTGCTAGAAAGCGTTCTACCCAACGAAAAATTGGGAAAAAGTTAGAGCCGGTCTAAGATACGAGAATTAACATTGGAGTCAATTGGGAAATCTTTAGTGATCTGTGTCCAAATGTCATTGAAACAGTTTGTCTTAGATTACAAAGTTAGAGAGTTCTACTCCTGTGCGTGTGTGAGTTAGCTGTATTTTACACCCGCTTTCACCGAGGTGATATCGCAGACAAGTTCTAGTCCTATTAGAAATGTGAGTTTAAAGCACTTGAAAACCTGAAAAAAATTACTGAATTTATAATCCGTTTCAGTACCCTAATTTCAAATGGCTGTATCTCAGAGGTATAATTTTGGATTTGTTAGCTTAAGTCCATGTACTATATATTTTTTATAACTTTTTTGGAGGTGGTCACGTTCCCAACTTTCCGAAATTTGGTCCACTAGACATGGAATGACCCAAATGTATATGCAAAATAGTTAATTATAAATAGTATCTATATTCAAGTTAAACATACATTAAGCAAGAGCTAAATCTGTCTATTGCAGGTCTATCTTTAGGCCTGAATTGTTATCTAAATTATTAATTAGACATATATTATCTTATTCACATCATAATCAACTCTCGATGGCATCGCTAGCCTACGATCTTTAGTGGATTATGATCCGATTTATTGCATAACGTTCCTTCACGATTTAATGATTAATGGATAATCGAGACTATGATTTTTGTCGTACCGACTTTAGTAATGATGATCGAGGCTAGGCTGAAATTTCAAACCTTTAATTCTCGGTTCATAGTGGATCAATTTGACTGAAAATTTCGGCAAATTGCCTTTACATTATCTAGTTTTTAACTATTATAGTGGGAACTGCCAACTCGTTATCTAATTTTCCATAATGTTTATTTTTAAGTGTTACGTCGAGCTGAATAAATCATATGATTTATTATAATTAAAAGATCAAGGTGTGGTTAACAGTCTGTAATTAAAAAATACAATTGGATATTTGTAGAAATAATTTTATTAATTTACCGTAGGTGACACACGGTTGCACATACCTCCAGGGGAGCACAATGGGCTCTAAAATCAATGACCTCAGCCGAAATACCTCCGAGGTTTCAGTTATTCAGAGACACAGAGACATAATATAAAATAAAATAGTCTTATATTCTGTTATTATAATAGTCAGAATGGGGGGGGGGGGGGGTAATGTTATTGTGTAATCTTGTGATTAAAATAAAGACAATGAATCACATTCTACACAACAAGCAAGCGATAGCAAGACGACCCTCCTATATTGCCAACATTTTAATGTACTTTTTACGATGTTTAAGGTAACATATCTCAATGTTTGCGGTAACACATTTCGTAAATGCAACATAGGAAACATCCTGCTGTTCTGCTCAGACTGGGCTAATGAAGACGGACATACACCATACAGTGTGCTATGACGGGAATTTTGCCCGGGCAGTGTCATTATGGCCAATGTATACACAGTACCTCGTTTTTTTGTGCCCTTCGAACTACTAGACAGCTCTCCTTGCCAGGCCCTCCGTCCTGCACAACTGACAAGGGGGAAACGAACACGCGACCTCCAAGATAGCGAGCTAGCGTCTTACCCACTAAGCCACCGTGACTCCCATGCAGCATAGGAGGCTTCTGAAATTTTGCAGCCTAGTAGTTTATTCATCCCTTGATTCTGTGAAAAAAAATAGTTTTGGAATCAAAGCTGTTTGGGTGCATGTTAGTGCTGGAATACGAATGAGAGATTCAGCTCGGTCCATTTTGTTTTGTTTTGGTGTTTATGAGGTACCCCCCGGTACGCCTCTGGGGTAGGTCACATATATCCATTTTATCCTGTTCGTAATTATTATTATTAATAAAATAAATTTCTTCGCTTACTTTATCAAATATTCGCCTCATAATGTATAAACATTATTACACTATAAACTAATGTTAGATATTTATTGTCCCCCGCCTTTCGAAGAAAGCAGGGGACTATTAAAATGGGTTCGTCCGTCTGTCTGTCTGTCTGTCTGTCCGTCTGTCTGTCCGTCACACTTTTTGGGACACAATAACTCTCTTCCTAATTGAGCTAGAATGTTCAAACTTGGTGTATGTGTTTATTAGGTCAATGCCTTGATGGAGTTCGAAGATGAGCATTTTCCGCTTAGGGTAAGCAGAGATAAGCAATTTGATTGGTTGATGCTTTGGGACACGATAACTCTCTTCCTAATTGGGCTAGAATGTTCAAACTTGGTGTATGTGTTGATTAGGTCAATGCCTTGATGGAGTTCGAAGATGAGCATTTCCCGCTTAGGGTAAGCAGAGATAAGCAATTTGATTGGTTGATGCTTTGGGACACGATAACTTTTAATTGAGCTAGAATGTTCAAACTTGGTGTATGTGTTTATTAGGTCAATGCCTTGATGGAGTTCGAAGATGAGCATTTTCCGCTTAGGGTAAGCAGAGATAAGCAATTTGATTGGTTGATACTTTGGGGCACGATAACTCTCTTCCTAATTGAGCTAGAATGTTCAAACTTGGTGTATGTGTTGATTAGGTCAATGCCTTGATGGAGTTCGAAGATGAGCATTTTCCGCTTAGGGTAAGCAGAGATAAGCAATTTGATTGGTTGATGCTTTGGGACACGATAACTTTAGTTCTAATTAAGTGAGATTGATGAAACTTGGTGTATAGTTTCATTACAGTAATACCTTGACTAAGTTTGATAATTGAGCATTTTCTGCTCAGGGTAAGCAGAGCGATACGCAATTTGATTGGTCGAGACTTTGGAAAACAATAACTCTCCTACTTTGATTGTCCCCCGCCTTTCGAAGAAAGCAGGGAACTATTAAAATGGGTTCGTCCGTCTGTCTGTTTGTCTGTCTGTCCGTTCCGCTTATGGTAAGCAGAGATAAACAATTTGATTGGTTGATCTTCGAATTGAGTAAATGTTCATGCTTATTGGCCCCCGCCTTTCGAAGAAAGCAGGGAACTATTAAAATGGGTTCGTCCGTCTGTCTGTTTGTCTGTCCGTTCCGCTTAGGGTAAGCAGAGATAAACAATTTGATTGGTTGATGCTTTGGGACACTATAATTTAGTTCTAATTAAGTAGATAAACAATTTGATTGGTTGATGCTTTGGGACACTATAACTTTAGTTCTAATTAAGTGAGAGTGATGAAACTTGGTGTATAGTTTCATTACAGTAATACCTTGACTAAGATCGATAATGAGCATTTTCTGCTCAGATTAAGCAGAGCGATAAGCAATTTGATTTGCTGAGACTTTGGAACACAATAACTCTCCTTCGAATTGAGTTAAAATGTTCAAAATTGGTGTGTATGCTTATTGTCCCCCGCCTTTCGAAGAAAGCAGGGGACTATTAAAATGGGTTCGCCCGTCGTCTGTTTGTCTGTCTGTCCGTCACACTCCTTCGAATTGAGTTAAAATGTTCAAAATTGGTGTGTATGCTTATTGTCCCCCGCCTTTCGAAGAAAGCAGGGGACTATTAAAATGGGTTCGTCCGTCTGTCTGTTTGTCTGTCTGTCCGTCACACTTTTTGGGACACAATAACTCTCCTCCCAATTGAGGTAGAAGGTTCAAACTTGGTGTAGGCCTTTATTAGGTCAATGCCTAGATGGAGTTCGAAGATGAACCTTTTCTGCGCAGGCTAAGCCGACATAAGTCATTTGATTGGTTGATGCTTTGGGACACGATAACTTTAGTTCTAATTAAGTGAGAGTGATCAAACTTGGTTTATAGTTTCATTACATGAATACCTCGATAATGAGCATTTTCTGCATAGGCCGAGATAAGCTATTTGATTGGTTGATGCTTTGGGGCACGATAACTTTAGTTCTAATTAGATGAACATTTTCTGCGCAGGCTAAGCCGACATAAGTCATTTGATTGGTTGATGCTTTGGGACACGATAACTTATGCAATAATGAATTGACATTTAATGACAGAAAGAAAACAGTGAACTTTGCACAACTTGCAGCAAGATGGAAAATAGACCCGTTGATACAACCAAACTCTAGATCTGTAGGCATAGAGCATGTTTTCCCCTTAATATGCTATAATTATTCCATCAAAAACATTGTATGCTTAGACTATAAGTAAAGATATACTGTTTGATTGTTCAATACTTTGTAAAAGATAATTTGTGATAAATTTATATGTGTCCTCTAATTATTTTCTTATTTCGGCGGGGGACATCAGCCTCACTGTTGGCTTGTTATATTCATGTTTGTTATAATAGTCAATAATTAACTTGTGTATATGATATAAAAGTCAGTCATTGAATCAAATTAAACATATCTATTAAATCTTTATTTCATCCAATACATAAGTTTACAATTGAACAGAAATAAACTAATATCGGGTATAAGATTTCAAATTACACCACAATAAATACTGGTCAGGATTTAAAGGAGACAATCTAACCGTTAAACAATGATAACAGATTGTGAAATATATTACTGTACAAGTATATATAAAATATACTGTACAAGTATATAGGCGTGGTAAAATTTTGTTTGAATCAAGATTGAATATGAAAGACAAACAAAATCTAGTTCATTTTCACGGACCTGTGCTTCTCGTTTAAGCAATAATTGTGTTGTCAAACCAATTATAGTAGAGTAATGCATGAATGATTAATGTTACCACCAGTAGCTTAGTTATATCCCCACTTTGAACACCATAATAAACATATTTTGTTCGGATTATATACACAGTTTGGATTATATATACACACTTGTTACGCCATAATACACAATACAACAGACGACTGCCATTTTTCCCCGACATTTTCTCTCGTTTACCACTGTACATATTCCTCGTCAGCGTTATAATCGTCATATTTATATACCGTGCAATATAAATATAATAGAAATTGTCTTTTAAAGGCTCAATACTACTCTTGTTGTAACTGAACAATATGTCCCAATCTTTATTCTGGTCAACAAATTGTACTATTTTACAATATTCCAATTAATTGATGATATAAATTTCATCTTAACACACCTAATTTAAAAAAATTGGAAAAATTCAACTAAATGATTTGAAAGGCCTGACGTAAAGCTTTTCAAATGTGACTCGGATTTAAAAATACTTTTGAACCCACTGGACAAGTAAAATTGGATTTAATGGATAATTTACACATCAGGTCATCCAGTACTTAGAATAAGGCTATTTTTGATTTTATGGAGCTGTCAAGCCAGCAAGAGTGTTATTGTCCCTTTAACAATTAGCAGTGCCACAAGGCTTCATCTCCACATTGTACACCAAAATGTTTTAATGGTCGATCTTTATCGTTCTTACACTGGTAGAGGATATTTCCCCGATTCACTACCCCACAGATACACTCAATATGACCATCACCATCTTTACCATACTTCCTTCTAATCTGGTTCTGTACCATCTTCTCCACTTCACTTATACTGCTACATCTACTTACACTTATAGTTATCACATAACTACCACTGTAAATACAGGTAAATATATATCATATTATTATAGTTATATATATATTATATAGTAATCACATAACTACCACTGTAAATACAGGTAAATATATATCATATTATTATTGTTATATATATATTATATAGTAATCACATAACTACCACTGTAAATACAGGTATATTATTATAATTATATATCTATAACTACCACTGTAATTACTGGTAAATATATATTATTATAGTTATATATCTATTATACGGGCCTACAACTGTAGAAATGAACCGCGAGTATCAACATGAAATAGGGGTTCTGTATCGACTTGGCTAATGAAATGAAATGAAATGAAATGGAGTTTAACGTCCTACTGTTCTGCTCCTAACCTGGGCTAATGAAGACGGGCATACGCCTTACAGTGTGCTATGAGGGAAATTTTGCCCGGATAGCGGCACTACGGCCTACTCTTATATCGAATTCCAACTGCCAAGGGATCTTTTACGTGCACGCCAATGTGTACACGGGGCCTCGGTTTTTCGTCCCATCCGAACGACTAGACAGCTTTCCTTGTCAGCCCCTCCGTCCTGCATCACTGACAAGGGAGAACCACGCTGGAAAATCTGGATGAACTTTCTCGGCCAATGCAGGGATCGAACACCCGACCTCCAGGCTAGCGAGCTAGCGTCTTACCCACTTAGCCACGTGATCCCCCGACTTGGCTAATGAAGACGGACATATGCCATACAGTGTTTAGAGGGAAATTTTGCTCTGACAGCGGAGATACGGCCTAATGGTATTTTGAACTTCAACTGTCAGTCGTTCTTTTACGTGAACGCCAACGATTAGACATTGTTCCTTTTCAGGTCCACCGATAAGGGGAAACCCCGCAGAAAAATCTCGGCTAACACCGGGAGCGAATCCGAGATTTCCTGGTTAGCGAACCGGCGTCTTATTCACTAAGCCACCGCGGTTCCCCGAAACCAGTCGTCGATCTAGCGTTCTCCAAGTGAATAATGACCTGGGAAATGAAACGAAATGGGGGTTTAACGTCCTACTTTTCTGCACCGACTGGGCTAATGATGACGGTAAAGAGAGAGAGAGAGAGAGAGAGGAAGAGAGAGAGAGGGAGGGTTTAACGTCTACTCGACACATACTAGGTCATTTCGGGACTAACATGTTTTTTTAAAAATTGTATTTCAATAATTCGCTTGCGCGTAGGGTTTTTTTTAGCAGTGGGAGGACCCGTAGAAAACCCACGAGGTTGGACAGGCAACCCTACTCCTTGTCACGTACAACCGGGGATTCGAAGCCACGCCAGTTGACTCAATTACAGGCCCTATGACAGCGCGCACGTGCTAACCATTCGACCATGACGGTAAAGAGAAAGGATCTACTTACAAATCGAGGTATATATCAAGAGTAATCATATCCGTCTTATCTTCCAGAACTTTCACCCTTGACTTGAGTTGCTCTATCTCATCAGCTTGTTTCTGTATCTTGTCAGCGAGACTCAGTTTGTCTAATTGGAGTTGTTGTATTTCATTCTTCATCCTGTCATTATCCTCTTTTAGCTGGTTTTGTATGTTGTGCTCACCTATTTGTACATTACAAGGGTGGTTGAAATTAAGACTCTGGTGGTTGACAACTTGTCGGAGTGACTGTAAATATGAAACAAATCTATCTGTTGGCATTGGTATTTTATTATGACGAAGGAAGATGCCCCACCCTCTTCTGGAAGGACAGTGGAGTTGCATTGGACGCAGGCTATGTTGGGGACTAGGATTCTCACGAGGTGACAGTGGGGGAGGGGGGGGGGGCAGAGGTGATCTCTTCTGGAAGGAGACTCGAGTTTCCTTGGACACAGGCTGTGTTGCAATCCCGAATTCTCAAAACTCAAAACGAGGTGGGGGGGGGGAGTTCCTTCTGAAATTATAGTGGCGTTTCCTCGGGTACGGACTATATTTAGAACTTGAATTCTCAAGAGGAGAGGGGGGACGGGGCGGGGAGGAGGGGGAGTCTCTTCTGGAAATATAGCGGAGTTTCCCCGGACACAGGCTATGTTTAGAACTCGAACAAGGTGTCGGGATTTTTTTTTGCACCACTTGAACAACTAGCCAAGAGAAATACGACTTGAAAATCCCAATTATTTAAAATATTTCATAGATTTTATTTCCAAATACGTACCTCAGACATTCCAACTTACCAACTTCGAACGTCAGCGAAACATTTCGAAATATCAATACATAAGTTTTGTTCACCCTATCATAAGTAAAACGTGAGCCACGGGGGCTTAGTGGGTAAGAGGCTGGCTCGCTAGTCTGGAAGTCGGGTGTTTGATCCCTGCATTGGCCGAGAAAGTTCATCGAGATTTTCCGAGGTGGTTTCCCCTTGTCAGTGGTGCATTACGGAGGGCCCGACTCGAACAGCTGTCTAGTCTTTTGGATGCTACGAAAAACCGAGGTCCCGTGTATACACTGGAATGCACGTAAAAGAACCCTTGGCAGTTGGAATTGGATATAAGAGTAGGCGATAGTGCCGCTGCCCGGGCAAATTTCCCTCATAGTACACTGTATGGCGTATGCCTGTCTTCATTAGCACAGTATAGGAGCAGAACAGTAGGGCGTTAAACGCCATTCCATTTCATAAGTCGTACATACGTCTTTGGCACATCTTAAGAAGGGTAAATGATGCAACTTTTAACCGATGTATATAATGAGCTATTTCCAAGCCAAATACTAAAAGATTCGAAAGCATCATCAAATCTACTCACTGTGTTAGACATCACGGTGCTGTTATAGTAACAGAATTAATATACACAGCTTTCTTCTATTCTGATTCCAATGATCTGATCAACAGATTACGAAGTCAACACATATTATAAAATCTCCAAAAGGGAATTCCCCGTCTATTTGTGACAACGAGCTGAGCGTCGTAGTATTCAATTATACTGGTCTGCTTTATAATGAAAATGAAAGCCTGGTGTATATCTTATATACATGTCTAATATTAGATTGGTGGATAAACCAGTTCGACAAGTTTGATTGCTGACATAGCTTGATGTAAATATGCTATATAAGCAAGTGTATATACACGCTGTTATCTAAATAGTAATGTTATAGGTGGTAATACAGGCGTTTAACTTTGTAGTAATGTATATACAGCCATTTATCTTGATAGTAATGTGTACAAAATAAATGAAATGAAATGGGGTTTAACGTCCTACTGTTCTGCTCCGACTGGGATAATGAAGACTGGCATACGCTATACAGAGTGCTATGAGGGAAATTTTGCCCGGACAGCAGCGCTAAGGCCTTCTTTTATGTCGATTTACATCAGTCAGGGAATCTTTTACGTGCACGCCAATGTGTACACGGGACCTCGGGGTTTCGTCCCATCCGACCGATGTTACCGTGTTTAAACAATCTTCTTTAAAACCGTTGACAATCTCGAGCATCCAATGGCATCGAGAGTTGATTATGGTCTTGGTAAATTAATGAATGTCTAATTAATAAGTCCTAAAGAAAGACCTGCAATAGGCAGATTTATTTCTTGCTTGTATCTTTAACATGCATATTAGTCATTGATTCAGTAGGTACCCATATATGAGTTACGTCGCAATAACTTATATCACGTTTTGTATTATATTTTTAATTCTTATCATGTATATGTTCAAATATTTCTAGTTTAAGTTGGCGACAGCGATAGTTTAAAAATATAAGAGTACGGACAATTATGTTCATTCGTTAGTAAACGGGCCATTCCATATCAACTGGACCAATGTGGGAACATGACCCCCTTCAAAAAAATTATAAAAAATATATGTTATAGTATATGGCCCTAAACTAACAAATCCGAAATTTTACCTCTCTAGATCGAAAACTCGCTGAGATATGGCCATTTGAAATTAGGGTACTGAAACGGTTCATAAATTCAGTATTTTTTTTTTTTTTTTAGGTTTTCGGGTGCTTTATACGCACATTTCTAATAGGAGTGGAACTCTCTAACTTTGTAATCGAAGGAAGACAACTTTTGGTGTAGATTACGAATTTAGCATCACACTCATTGTCCAATGCATACTTTTCGCACCACCAGGTGGCGAAATGGAACAAATGAACTATTCACTTTTATTTTCAAGATTTCCACAGCCTCTGGCATAGTCACAATTATATACACAACCTCAAAAATTGTCATAGTTAATTTCAGTTTGTCATTTATCAATTTACAAAAGATTCTGAATCGATGTGATATATACTTTTCCAAATATTTAGTCTAGAAATTCAATCTGTTGCTATGATTAAAATTGTTCACTTTTCACGTTGATTTTAAAATTACTTCTAAATGACCTATACTCCCTAAACGTGTCTATTTAATAGAGAGACGTTTTGCGTAGATTACAAATATGTAATCATTTTGGATGTACATTGCATTGTTCTAATTTTATTTTGCCTCCCAAATGAGAATAATATGGTTAAAACGTTCACGAATTGAATATACAGACCTTTATTTTGACAGTAATATAATATTTTAAGCAGTAATATGTTATAGGTAGTACACATAGGCGTTTATCTTAATAGTGAGAGAGTGTGAGAGAGAGAGAAAGAGAGAGAGAGAGAGTTTAACTTCCACTAAACACTTTCTAGGTCATTTCGGGACTAACATATGGTTTAATTTTATTTCAGTAATTCGCTTGCACGTAGGGGTCTTCAGCAGTGGGAGGAAACCGGAGGACCCGGAGAAAACCCACGAGGTTGGACGGACAACCCTACTCCTTGTCACGTACAAGCGGAGATGCGAAACCACGCCAGTTGACGTAACAGGCCTTATGATACAGCGCGCACTTGCTAACAATTCGGTCATCAAACCAGTGGCGGCGCCAGCCGCCGGTGGGTGGAGGGGCAAAGCTGGGGCAAAGTCCAAGGCTAAGGGGGCAAAGGCACTAGGGGTAGGGGGCCTCCCCCAGAAATTTTTGAAAAACAGGCTGTCGTAAATGCAGCCTGACAGTATTTCAGGCACTGATCGTTGAGATAAAGTGTCAAACGAACGGACTTGCGAACCGCGACGAAACCCACTCACGAGCGCCAAAGTAGGGAGTCTTTACGGAGGACCTTCCCCAGAAAGTTTTGAAAAATAGACTGCCGGAAATGCTGTCTGACAGTATTCAGTAAGTCACCGATCGTCGAGATAAATAGATCTGGCAAGATACCGTCTGTCGCCTAGGGCCTGTTTCACGAAATTTTAACTAAGATAAAATCCAAATTTTAGTAATTTGATTGGATAATATTAGATTGATTTTAGTGCTTAGCCAATCAAAATTGAAGTATCTACTAAAATTTGGATTTTATCTTTAGTTAAGACTTCGAGAAACAGGGCCCAGATAACTAGTCTATCCGATCCCAGAGAGGAAAGTGTCAAATGAACGGACTTGCGAACCTCAACGAAGCCCCCGAAAATTTGAAAAGTAGGCTGCCCGAAATGCAGTATCTGGCAGTATTTCAGGCACTGATCGTCGAGATAAATAGAACTTACCAGATACCGCATGTCGCCAAATCACTGGTTTATCCGATCAGCCAGAGGAAAGTGACAAACGTACGGAGTGAGTGAAAGTGAATGAATATTTTCGCCACAATATTTTGAGAAATAGACTGCTGGAAATGCAGTCTGGCAGTATTTTAGATACTGGTCGTCGAGATAAATAGAGCTGACCAGATACTGTTCGTCGCCAAATCACCAGCTTATCCAGAGAGGGAGGTGTCAAACGAACGGAGTGAATGTTTCAAGTGAATGCATATTCTCGCCGCGTTGAACCTATACCCAAAAACTTTGAGGAGGGGAAAAAGCACTTTTCAAGTGATTCACATGTTATTGATTATAGTAGGTTTACAGCAGGATGGGCTTGTAAGAAATCACTCAGCAGGCTGTACAACATGCAAGTCTATGACTGAGTGGGGATGTGGGATTAATCACCGTAGGGTATTGATTACCGAAACGTATCACAAGTACTTTTTGGTTTTTTTTTCTTAAATTATTGGGGGGGGGGGGCAAACAGAGGGCAGACCACTGCATCCAACCCCCCTATCTTAATAGTAATGTTATAGATGGCATATACATTAGTTTAACTTGATAGTAATGTAATAGCATATACAAGCGTTTATCTTGATAGTAATAGGTGGAAGGTGGTAGCTATATTATACAGATGGTTATCGTGATAGTAATATGTTACAGGCGCGAATCCCGATAGTAATATTATGGTATCATAGGCACAGGCGCTTATAGATGCATTATGTAAGAGCTAAATCTGCCCATTGCGCAGGTCTTTCTTTCGGCTTTAAATGTGATATAAATTATTATTTAGACATTAATTAAGCTTATAATCAACTCTGTAAACCCTCGAATGGCCGAGATTTAAATGGATTTAAAAATCCGCGAGATTTAAACATTTAACGATAAAATGGACAATCGAGACTAAGTCTCGGTTTTCAAGCACCGTTGCTACGATAATGAGCGGTCTAAACTATATCATCAAACTGTCCAACTCTTTATCTAATTCGTACATAATGCATCTTTAGTAGCAATATAGTGGTTCGGATGGGATGAAAACCCGAGGTCCCGTGCACGCCAATGTAAGAGATCCCTTGGCAGTTGGAATTCGATATAAGAGAAGGCCGTAGCGCCGCTGTCCGGGCAAAATTTCCATCATAGCACATTGAATGGCATATGCCAGTCTTCATTATAGCCCAGTCGGAGCAGAACAGTAAGACTTTCATTTCATTGATCGTATTTCTAGTTCTGTAAATATGGGTACAACCCCCTTCTGCTGACCTTTACCTTGTAGATTGATCGCCTAAATCATTAATTGTCGTCCTAGTCGGGTCTTTTTTCCGTATGCAAATGAAGTTCGTCGTCGAGTCCATACAAATTATGTTCTATTATGCATTTGTCTATAATGCAAAATGTAGAATGGAGAAGTGTAATGTGCAAAATAACTATTATACTGTATTTGTATAACTGAAAAGTGTATTCTGTATTTTAACACTGTGACAGTGGTATTGTGGAGCAATGAAAACTGAAAATTGTATAACTAAAATACGGTATTTTGAACTGCGGACATACGCATTTTGAACCGTGCACATTGAAATACTATTATTGGCAATGTTATTCTTCCATAGCGTATAGGCATTTTCATTAATCTGTTCATTCAGACCACCCAGCATGATACTGATGACAAGCTTATATAATAACCAATGGTCGTTCAGATGAGTAAACCAAAACCAAAAGTTCTAGAGATGCTTAAAATCGGATCCATTTTGGTTATATATGATTTTGGAAAGGATAAGTATAGATGGCAGTCAAACAGTTTCACCATGAGAGACATACAGCTGCCCTCGTCGTGTTCCGGTGCATTATTCCTTATAACACAACACTGCTAGACTCCACCTGATACCGCTGGTGATCCCACAATAATCGCCGCTTTAGAATGCATAAACATTTCAGCTTTTACTACCCGACGAATTTTCACCGATCGTGCTGTCGGCAACAAATAGGCTATAGTGTGTGCAGACCTTAATGTAAATGTAATATCGGCCCAAAACCATAAGCATGTACAGTATGATCATTTTTTTATTGCTACCGGGCGGGGGGGGGGGGGGCAAATGGTTAAGGCGTGCGCGTTGGATCAGAGGGTCTGTTATTGAGTCAAGTGTCGTGGTTTCTATTCCCCACTTGTATGTGGACAAGGAGTAGGGTCGACCATCCAACCTCGTGGGTTTTCCCAGACCCGTCCGGTTTACCCCCGCTGCTAGCGATCCCTACTCGCAAACGAATTAGTGCAATAAAATGAAACAGTATGTTAATCCTGAAGTGACCTAGTTTGTGTCGAGCTAACGTTAAACCCCATTTCTAACTTTATTATTACATCATTCATGATAATAACATCATCACCCCCCGGCAGTACATTACTAGCAACAC